TGTGTGCAGGTGCAACAAGCAGCTACAACAGCAACATAACTTTGGCTGCTTTAATACTTATTGTTGATATTGCACTGCAATTTAAGCATTTTTCACATTTTACTGCACTTGCAAGAAAAACAAAAGACTTAAGCAACGAACTTGCTGCAGTTGCCGCTGTTAATTGAAACGAGGACAGACCGAAAAAAAAAAACAGCTGACAATTCCGGGCAGAGCTCCAATATGAGAATTCCACTCCGGTATTGTTGCTGCCCCATTGAAATGGCCACCCAGATATATATTTCTCAGATCTTTTCAGCTTAAACACACTCAGCAGCAGCAGCGGCAGCTGCTGCAGTCCACAGAAGCCCCACTGTCAGGTAGACCCAGACGGCTAGGGACACTGGACAGACACCGCTGGCCGACGTTGTAAACGTCAAACTGAAAAACCACTCAAAGTTTTGAAGCGGGAGCGGCAGAAAAAAATTATTAACTGACATTTTAATGATGATAATGATGATGCCGTTGACGTTGGCGTCGGTGGTGGCGGTGGCTGCTGCAACTGCGTCGGTGGCTAGACATAAAAATATAACCCTTTTCGCCCCACCAAAGCGCAGGTAGAAAAAACCATCGGTGTTGTGTTTGTTGTTGTTGTTTATGCTGCTGGTTGTTTGTTGATGTAAGCGGCGTGATTTTTATCAGTTGGAGCCGCAATGTTTGCCCAACTGGCGCCAGTTTTTATGTATTTTACGCGCCCAAAAAGAAAACCAAAATCGAAAGGTTCAAAGAAATGTTTTTTAAAACGTTCTTGTGTGTGTGTGTGTGTATGTGTGAAACGCTTTTTCAATTGCGATTTCTGAAGTGTGCGCAAATCGATTGGCTATGAATTTTAATTGATTTTTTTTTCAAGACAGCAACAACACGGTAAACAAAAGGAGCAGCTCCGGCAAAACCGCAGATGAAAGTTGTATTTCATTTTGTGTTTCGATGCGCTTGTAAAAGGCTCGCGCTCAAATAAAGCATGAAAATAAGTTTTGCCTGGCACACACACACAAACACAAACAGACAGATACACTGACGACTGAAACTGCAGGCGAATTGTGGCTAATTTCAGTAATCTGTAAAGAATGCTGCAAAAGGCACCCACAATTCGCTGTACAGACAGAGACTGAGACTGAGCCTTAGCCTGAGACCGAGACTGATACACAGGGACAAACAGACAGACAAACAGACAGCGGCTGTCCAGACATGTGTGCGTCTGTTTGCAACCTGCTTAATGTCATGCAGCGGCAACAGCAACAACAGCTATAACAACAACAACAACAAAAACAGCAACAATAAGAAGAACAACAAAAAAACCATAAGCAACTACAACGCACTGTCACTGTCATGCATCATCATCATTGCAACCTGGACCGGAGCCGGTTGCTGCTGCTACCTCTGCTGCTGTTGCTGTATTTGAAAATTATTGCATGTCCAGTCTGCACTCTGCAGTCTGCATTCTACAGACTGCAGTTTGAGTCTGAGTCGGAGTCGGAGTCTGAGTCTGAGATTCAGGCTCAAGCATGCAAAGCTGAGAAACTGAGAAGGCGAAACACTTGCAACATTGGCATAGCCAGTGAGTGATGCGATTATCTGCAAGATTCGCTTATCTACGGTGATCCATCAGCTATGTGGCACTGAGGCACTCGCGTATGTCAGTTTACTACCTTTCCCCCACCAATGTCTTTGCTGCTGCTGCGATGACTGTTGCTGCGTGCAAAAATGCGTAGCCTGCGCGGGCGTTTGCCATATAAATTAGAATGTGCGTTGCTATACCATTTTTTGGATTATATTCTTTTATATATACTTAATATTTCTTGGTTGGTATTTTTTTTGTTTTTTGTTTTTAATATATTTGCCGGTCCCACGGTTGAGCAAAGCTGCCAAGCTGACCAGCACCCGCTAGCAGCGCCTTTTGACTGCTTGCGGTTACTGTTGTTACTGCCTTCAGGAAGCGCTGCTGCTGGAGTAAACCACAGTAGGTTTTTTTCAGTTTTTTGTTGACTTTGATTGAAAGTTGACACAGCCAAGCGTTGAAAACCACATCCGTGGTGGGCAGCAGCACTACTAGGAGCAACAGCACTGCCTGTATGCAAATGCAATTAGTTTTTGATTAAGTTGTAGCCCCCAAAAAGATGCAAGGGCAGTATTCAGTCTTCAGTAGATTGCTCTAAAGTTGTTGGAACAGTACACCAAAGTACACTTAAGCGCAAAAGCAAAGCGACAGACCGTTAAATTGTTGCAATTACCAAAGCTAGCGTTGAATTTTGCTGCTGCTGCCGCCATATTTGCGCATGTTGCTGCCGTGCAGCTGTAAAACAATATGCACAGTGTTTATGGGTATGTTTTTGTGTGTCTGTGTGTGTGGGTGTGTGTTTGTGTCAGACTATTGTTGTTGTTGCCTGGGCCAATTGCTTAGCACGCGCTGCTAATTTTGTGCTGCTGTTGTTGTTGTTTTTGCTGTTGCCGCTGCAAGGCAGGCAGCAATTTCTAAGTTGCATGCACGCCTCGTTGATTGTAGTAGGTGGCCTGGCTCGGCCTGGCTTAGCCCGACTTAGCCTAGCCACTGGTCATTATTATAGTAGCCGGTGCTCAGTTTCGAGTGCCGCTGCAGTTCGCAGGGTGACCAAAAGCCGCTGCAATCATGTTAATAACAGCTTGTATCGCTTGCCAGTTGCTGTTTCGTCAGTTGCAAGTTCTATGTGTGTAATTTATGGCTGTGGCTAATTGCATTTGAAAGTTTAAATGCAAAAGTCAAACGGTTTTCAGATATGCATAAAAACACAATCAACTTAAACGAGTGAAATGCTATTTTCTCACACAGAATCTCTGAACCGATTTTTACCATGTGCCACACCAGTCAGCGCAGCTCATTTGAAATTCCAATTTCAATAACGCTCAATGATGTTTATCGGCAACGCTTTATTTTTCGTTGTTGATTTTTTCCCATTTTTTTCTATTTTTATTTTATTTTTGAGTAGGCGTTGTCCGCAGCAGCAGCATCAACAGCAACAACAACAGCTAAATAACGTTGCCTTGTACCAATTTACGCACATAAAGATGCGCTGGGCCAAGGTTCAGGGCAGGGCAGGGCAGGCCAGTTCAATGGCTAGATAACGCCATGGGAGCCATCAGCTTCATTGCGTGCGCTGATGATGCTGCTGCTGACGATGCTGCTGCTATGATGCTGCTGCTGTTCTTGTGGGTGCGCGATAAGACAGAGCTCGAACGAGGGACGAGAGTTAGAGCCAGAGTTTATCAGCTTGAGGCACACAGCTGCGACTGAAAATTCAAATGCTGAAATGCTGAAAAAATACCGAACATTGAAAATAGTTGCGCTAATAAATTCATGTCGCTGTGGACAGCAATAGACTGTCTAGCTGGCTGCAGTATTGCTGAGATATATGTTTTGAAACAAGTTTTTGGGGCGGCATATTTGTTAAGGTCGCACAGCTGCGACGCCAGCAACAGTTGCTGTTTGCGGTAGCCATTCCACATAAATAGCTGTTGCTCATGTGGTACATAGGCTATGTGCATTTTTTTATATTTTTTTTTTGACTATTTGCACACCCGCATTGGCATCAACCGCAACAACATGCCATGTTGCATGCCTAATTGCAACAGGTGGCAAATGCCAGCAGCCACAACAGACATACACACAGTTACTGTTTCTGTTTGCGGTTGCAAGGGTTGCTATTGCTAGCGCTGTTGCCGTTGCATTCACTGCAACATGTAGCATATGTGCCAGCAACAAAGCCAATTAGCAGCAGAAACAATAAACGTTTTCAATTGTCAAACACACAAAATGTAAATGCAGCTCAGCATTCGTTGACAATTCTACTAAATGATTAGCAAATAAAAGCACACATTTAAACAATTGTTAATTGTTTGATGTTGACCAAAAATGGCAACAGAGACAGCAACAACAACAACAGGTAAACCACTTTATGTTGTCACTTGGCGCTGGCATTTGATTAGCCTTTGATTGGTTGCTACTGCAGCTCAAATAATTAATGAGTTAAATATTATAATTTATTTAAAACTAGCCACGATCATTAATCAGCCGTGTAACATGACTCTGAAGTTAGTGCTTGGCATTGGATCGGCTTTTGCTTTTCGCAGGCCTTTGTTGTCTATACGGCCACCGTTTTTAGGGGGCTGCTGGCACGCCCCACTAATTGGGCACTGGCAACTGTTTAACTGTGTTTTTTCCACCGTTTTGCTTTCGGGTGGGTGGCAACGCTTCGATTTTCTACTAATTTTGCATTTATTGCCAAACACACAATCAATCAATGTCCAGTTGGCCACTTTCCGGCCCAACAAAACAGCAGCAATGTTGCAACAACCTTTGCCCAGCAACATGTTGCGTAAATATGTGCAAAAAAATCGTATATGTAATAAATTAAATAAATTTGAAAAATTCATGAGATGCGAAGAAATCAAAGCCAAAGCCACGCTGTCTGCGCTTAAGCTAAAAAAAAATATGAAAATTTAGATAAAAGCATTAAAAAAAATCACTAAAAATTTGAAAATATTATAGAGATTTTTATTGCTATAGCTGTATTTGTATGTCATTAATATTTATACATTTTTTAGAACACAGTCAGTCATAAGTATTTTTATGCTTGATTAATGATGTTTGGTTTGTTTGAATGAGCTGCTTTAATTACTGCGGCAATTAGCAGCTAAATGCAAACAGTTTTGTTGGCTTCAACAATTTTGTTGTGTTAGCACATTTTCTGCCACACATAGCAACACATATATGTCTTCATAACATCAACATAGACATAAACATATAATTTAAATAGAGCTACCTCGTAAAGTGACCATAAAGTGGTTACCAGCTGTAAAAACCATGCAAAAGTTTCTAGAAAGTTTTACCCACAATTTCATAGCAAACATTTTTATAGTTCTGCTCAAATTACTCTTGTAAATGAAACGTTTATAAATCTTACGTTTTCTGTTCGTATTTCTTACAGAACATGCCAGAGTCTATTGCAGTAGCAACAACATCCTAACTAAACGAGGTAAGCAATCATCAAATGTTTTAAAGTAGCAGCAGCTGTATTTTTTTATTTTTTGGCTGACAATGGCAACCCTGGCCTGACCATGCACAGACAAAGCTGGCAACCTTCGTAAACACAAAAAAAAAGCAAAAAAACAAAGGCAAAAAATACTGAAACGCATTTTGAATTTAATGCGTGCGTTGCAGGAGTACAGAGTAGCGGATCTGACAGGAGGACGTGTAGGAGGGGAGGCGGACAGGCAGGCAAGCAGAGATCGCATTCGTATCGATCATGTGCGCCTGTCCGGCTTGCAACATTCAAGTGTCGTCTTGTGTTTCGCATGAATTTCGCATCAGCTTCGGGCTTCGAACACAGAGCTTCGTCTCTCGTCTCGTTTGTCTCCCGATCGCTCTCTCAGTCTGGCAGCCGTCTGAGTTTAAAGACTGCGTCTGGGGCAGCTTTAGTAAGTTGCGGGCGTTGCACGGCAGGCGACCTTCTAAGTCGGCCGCTAAGGAATTGCAACTGCCATTGAAAATGAGTGAAGTTGAACATTTTAGACAGATTGCCAAGTTTTGTCATAAAAACGCGGCAACTTCGGAGCTGCAGCTGAAACTCGATGTTGTTGCTTTTTAAAGATTAATTGCTTGCGACAGTTTGAAAACGATGGCGACGGTCAAACTGCAATAGCAACGACAACAACAGCACCAGCAGCTGCCCCTTTCAAGCCATAAAAATTGGCAGTTTGTGGCTAAAATTAACATGACGTCAGTACGAGACGTTGTCAATTACTTTGGCTTAGAGTGCGACCTTTGGCTGGTTGAGCGATTAAGGCCGCACCGCACCACTGCAACAGAAGCAGCAGCAGCACCAGCAGCAACTACAACTTAATCTCATTCGTTGGCTTCGCTCTTTTTGCCCGCCAGCTAATTTTTAATTCATTTGTTGAAGTTTCTTTTGACACGCCCTAACAAAAGCGACGCGCTTTTGGTGTCATCACATTTGTTGCTGTGGTTGTCGTTGTTTGTGTTTCATTTTTTGTTGTTTGATTTTGAATGTTTTTCAACTTTTTGCAACTGTTTTTTACTTTGTATTATTGTGTTTTTTTTCTTTTTTTGATTTGGGGTGGCTTGGTCGCTTTTATTCATAAATGTATCTCGACATGAAATACAGCTTAATTAACAAAAAATCTGAAGAAAACCTGCAGCAGCTCGCTGCTGAAGCGCAGTTCCATTCATACATTCACTTCATTCAGTCTCCATTCAGACACACACATAAGTCACAAGTGATATTCAGTGCGTATTTCCAAAAATTTATGTTAACTAATTTGTCATATTATTGTTTTCATAATTGAGTGAGTAAAATCCGACAATAAACCATCGAGAATTTTGGTTAACAGTTCGTGCAGCAGTAAAAGCACAAGCGACACAAATTACAACAAACCATTGAAAATCAATTAACACCTGCGAATGCTCTATACAATCGATCCGAGTCAATCTACCTATCAGCAGGAGCAGACACGAGCTGTATAAATTAAATATCAGTGGCTTTATGTTCTTTTCATTGGCAATCAGTAAAGCAACATTGAAATTAACATATCAAATACAACATAATTGCGCGATAATAACCAAACAACATGAAAATGAAACCTGTTATTTTGTGTGTATATATGTATATGATTAATTGATCATCAGTTTATTGTCTAGTAACAACACTAGATAAATTTCTTTAGGTTTTTGTGCATCCTTGTCAACTCTATTTTATACCAGCTAAAATATATATTATAGAACGTATTAATCAAGCATAATAATCCTAAAACAAACAATTTAACATAATATAAATGCTGCAGAAAGTAAAGAGTGCGTTTCATGCGCATCTTTTAAGGCCTGACGCCTGGCAAGGCAACGAACTCCTGCCCTGCTCCTAACAGTTGTAATGCAAAGTGACAGCGACAGCGGCTTGTAGGCAATCAAAATGCAGTATAAAACATGTGCAGCTTGCAATAGTTAGGAATATGCGTTGAGTGTTGAAGCAGTTGCTGTTGTTGGTTGGTGCTTGCAGCTCTCCACCTGGCAGGGGCAACTGCAAACGCAAATTGAAAGAACTTGTTGGCTGTTTTGCCTGCTGCACGCAGTTGTCGACAAGCAAATTGAAAGCTTTAGCTTTGCACTTGCTTTGCGGTCAAAAGCAAATACCTCTGCAACACTAGCACCAGAAATAACAACAAACAACAAAAGCAACAACAGAGCCTAGTGGCAGTACCAGTGCTGGCCTGTGGTGCATTTGGTGGTGCCTGTTGGTGGTTACAACTATTGATTACAAGTTGCCAATCGCTGTGTCTCACATTACCCAATACAACAAACAGGCAGCAACAGCAATGGCAACAACTTTGGCAGCGACCTCGATGCGGGTGTTGCAGACAGGCGCAGACAGGCTCCAATAACCAGCCAGCAACAACAACCGAATGGAGGTTGTAATTAATGCGGGAGCCTGTGCTGACATTTTGAGAAATTTATTGCTCCAAGTGGATTTATAGTCTGCGACATTTTATAGTTTTACCTTGCGGTCGTTTTCGATCGATCGAACATGTAATGTTGCCAGCAACATGTTGCCGTTTACTGCTGCTGCTGCTGCTGCTTCTGCTGATGGTGGGAACTGCAACAGCAGAAACAGCAGCCACCCTTTCATGCGCATCATGTGCGCGCGCGCATATATAATTTGGCTACCCGATAATGATCGGCCTTTGGCATAATAAATTTGCAGCAATGCCGCAAAACGTTGTGGCAACTTTCAAGAGTAAAGCTATAGTTGGTGGTATTGGTGTTGGTGTTGGCGTCGCAACCTCAACGTGGACTTGAACTTATCCTTAAAGGTACCCAGATACTCGAGAGCCGAGTACCGAGTTCCTGTAATATCAAAGGCAACAAAGGGGTATCTGTACATTGCAATCTATATTAATTTTTATATAGCCTGAGACCTGGCTGCCCAGTGCCAGTCACGCTGCACTTTCATAAATGCCAAAAATTTCACCTGCTTTCACAAAGATGATTAAAAATAAATATGCAACGTTGCGACGTCGACGTCATCGGCAACTGGCCCGAAACGAGTGCAGTTCTGAGGCACTACAAATGGTGGGCCGCCCCACTTCATGATATACGATAATTTCGTTCTGATAATGTGACGTACAGCAGCCTCAGTCTCAGCCTCAGCTGACCCAGATGGCAATGCGTGAGTGTTGAGCCAAAAATCGTTTAAGGCTAATTGCAAAGATCGCTTTCGGTTGATAAACGAGCGAACAGCGTTGCCAGCGATCAGAGCGGGTGAAGGAGGGGGTTTGAGATAGGGTAGGGTGAAACGGTTTAGTCAGGGATTGAGATGCCTCAGGGCGCTGACCCAAAACCTTTACGAGCAAAATACAAAAAGCAGCTAAACAAATACGCAGCGCGTAGTTAATGATGATTGCTAGCCCCCAAAGGTTAAAATTAAATAATTTTCAACTTGCTTCCAAGTCTCGTCAGAGCCAGCTCAAAATGGCGGGCGTTCCATCCATCTAAAGCAACCATTCATTCATTCATTTGCCTAGCCATATAATTAGCATGAAATGAGTAGGATTTGAAAATTTTTAGTTAAATATTTCAAAGACTTTTCGCTTCTGGCGATCTTTTTCTGTGGTCTATGTTAATTTTTTGGCGCTTTGGCAATTAAGCAGAAAACCGTGTAGCTAATTATGATAAACATTTGGAAGAAGGAGGTGGAGTATAAATGCAGAGAAATATGTGAACAAGAAATGGCAAACAGGAAGTGGAAGGTCAACCTCATAGATATTCTAACAAAAAAAGTTTTCTGTTTCTACCTCACTTATGAGTTAACTGCCTCTGTTCATAGATGCGTTCCTTTGCCGATCTTTTAGCATTTAAATGCTTGCCAACCGGTTCGATTTTAACCCTAGCCAGGTACTTACAGCTCTTTTTGGCCCATTCTTTACTCTTTTGGGCGACCGCAGGCGCCGCAGTTGCCCTAGCTTGGTTGGATGGTTGTCGATAAGGCGGCAATGGTTTAATTTAGCCGAACAGCCAAACAAAAGGTAACTAAAAGAAACTGCATCGGCAGCAGATGACGACAGGATCGTTGGGCCCAGCCCACGTGCAACTGCAACTGCAGCAAAAGCAGCAACAGCAACAAAAACAAAAACAAATGTGTCTGTATATCGTAACTAAATTGACTTTGATCACGCGATCGCCCGGCCTTTGTGGCAAACGGAAGTATGCTAAGCAACTTGTTGCTGCCACGCCGGCAACATCTAGCAGCAACAGCAGCAGCTGAAGGTGTATATTGCAAAAATAATTACATTTGATTGTAAAAGGCCAGCGTCTAGGCCGGCGACTCGGACTTGGGATGAGGACACGGAGCCGGAGTCGGGGCTATGCCAAAGAAAAATGTGCAACATGATTGCAGTTTACAGCGCTTGGAGAGTCGAGCCAACACCGGCAGCAACAACACAAAACCAACAGATAAAATGCATTTACAATTGAATTTGAATGTAATTTTATTTAAGCTGCGGTCAGCCAGGGGCAAATGTGTATGTGTGTGTGTGTGTGTGTGTGTGTGAGTTTGTGTTGCTGCTGCACGGCAGCAACAATTGGCCAACTGGCAGGAAATTGCCATTATCTAGCATTATCCACTTGTGCAACGGTAGCAGTAGCAGAAGCGAAGCAATATCAGGCGTCGTAAGTTGCACGTCAATCTCTGGTCGAGATCAGAGGTTTCAATGATCCTCTTAATTAATGACACCAAAGTAGCAATACCAGCAACAGTAACAATTAGCATATCGTTAGCTCGCATATTGACGTCAAATTTGGTCTGGCATTTAATGAGCAGCAAAACCAATTCGTACTCATACTTTAAATTACGGTGATCATTTTAATTGCAGTGCGCCTGCCAAAGCAACTCTGAAACTGGAAGCCGGCAGCTCTCAATTTCAAATACGAGAGAGAGAGATATATACAATTTTATATGTGCATCAATGTTTGTTTGTCTGTTTTCTTGTATGTACATTTTAAATCAATTAAAAAGAGCTTTCTAACAAGCTTTTGCCGGCTAAGTATGCATGAGCTTGCGCTGGAATGGGGCGTGTTTTTAGTGAGCATTGCAACATGTTGCTGGCTCAGCTCTTGTTGCTGTTGCTCTTGCTGCTGGTTCTGCTGCTGCCGCCGTCAAGTGGTCTTTGCTCATTGGTTCGTGCCGCTTAGGCGTAGGCGTATAAATAGCTTTTTGTTTTCTTTTTCACTGTTTTCACTTGATGCGCACTTCATTTTCAATTACTTTTTGCTTTTGCTGTTATTATTGTTATTGTTATTGTTATTGTTGCTGTTGCTTTTTGCGTTGTGTAAATGGCGTTTTATTTTATTGGCCATATTTGTGCCCTGTCATGCTTTGTTTGCTTTCGGCTGAACAACTCCATACAACTGCCTTTGACTTCACCTTTGCTGCTGCTCATGTTGTTGTTGTTTTGGTTGTTTGTTGTTGCTGCTACACTAAGCTGTCCATTATCAATGCGTATCACGTTGTTGTTGAAGTCGTTGAAGTGTGCTTAAATGGCGTCAGCAAGACATTTGCCAGTTTAATGGGTTAGGCTCCATACCAACCGACCATCATAGCAGCCGCATAAATCTGCAGCAGCCAAAATGTAAGCCAACATTTTGTGCAAATAACAAACATAGGGCTAATAAAGGAGCTTGCTTCAGGTCGCCCGTGTGGGCGCTGCGGCAGGGCAGAACGTGTCTGCCCCGCCGTGCACACAATTTGTTTACATTTTAATTTCTGCAATTTTGTTTAGTTAACTTTGTAAGCTGGTCGCCGTCGGGACGCCATAGGCACACAGTCAGGCAGCTTATCGCAATGGTGACAACAGCAACAACGACGACATTTACTGCAGGCCAGTTGTGATAGAGCTGGCCGAAGGGGGCGCCACTTTAAAACTTCATCAAGTTACAGGCACTACGTGTGTGTTTGTCTGCGTGTATGTGTTATAAGGGAAACAAAAGTAAAATAAACATTCTCATACACTCGCACACATAGCCAGAGAGAGAGGCGCTCATTGTGACCGCCATTGCGACAACTCCCCCTCACGCTCACTCTTGTCCCACTCACCCGCTCGTCGTCGGACAGATTCATATAAATACGTTGCATTTTATATAACAATACGGTTGGTCTTCTTGTTTTTGCTGTTGTTGCAGGTTGGTTTTTGTAGTTCACGCTTTTGTTATTTTCATTGTTTTATTTGGTGTTAAAACTGTTGTCATAATTAAGCAGATTACAAAAAAAAAAAAGTGACAATGAATCATATTTCCACTGGCATTGCACATTTTTAGTTTTCTTCTTTTTTAACGGCTATTTGCATTTTTAATTTTTAGCTCACAATGAACAGCGTCGTGCTCAACGCACCGCCAGCAAAATAACCAAAAAAAAAGAAAAGAACAGCAACCAATGAGCGCCATTTAATGTACGCTGCTTCCTCGTCTCGTTTCTTGTTGAAAATTCAATTAAGCAACAGCCATTATAGGCTATCTCGCTCGCACCATTTTCCGCTTGCCTTGCACTTACTTATTTTTTTGTGAACTGTGCTGCTTATCGCATAGATACTTATGCATATATATATGTATCTGTATCTGATAAATGACACGGCAGAGTTCCATTTAAAGCCAAACATTTGCTTACAAGCATGTTTCGCTGTTTAGTTGTGAAGCGCCATGTTTATGTTTTTTTGTTGAGATTTTTAGTTAATTTCAACAATAAGTTGCTTGCTAAATTTTTAATTTGAATTGTTGTTTTTATTAATGGAACCGATTTCATGCTGATGCTGCTGCTTTTGCTTTTCATGTGCTGAGCTAGCAAGTGATAGGCAAACATTTAAGCGGTGTAGTTATATTTGATGATTGCACAAGACATAAACAAGAATCCATTAGTTCTGGCTAATTCGACAAGGTCGCCAATGGTATATTTAAAATGCCAAGACTTCACTCTGTATTTTACAAACAATTTGAAGTTCTCAATTTATTCCCAGATTATTCTTAACCTTTGCAGTAGCCGCTAAATAACCATTGAATACGTACTCAGCCCAAAGCCGAATTAACACTTCATTTAGCATAATTTCACACCAACTTCAGTCCTACGTTCTCCATTATACAATTTCCCTGGCGCGCAAAAATATATGTATGTCTGTATATAAAAAAAAAAGAATATTTAAATCTGCCGCCATAAATCAAAAATCTCTGCTGCTGGTTTACAGCTCCTTCGGTTGCCTTTTTCTCCGATATTCCTTTTCACCAGCCATTTCGCGTGCTTAAAGGGCACAAAGAACCTTGGCCACTAACTTTGCTTCAACTCCGTCAACGAGCGTGAAAATTTATGATTTTTTTATAACTGAGACTACAAAATTCAAAAATGTAGAAAACTACAATCCAATGTCTTTTGGCACAGGCTAAATGAACAAAAAAAAGAGTAGCATTGCCGCAGAACATTTGGGCGGGGCAAAAGTTTTTCGCATAGTTGTCAGTGTTGCGTTGTTTAATTACGCTAATTAGGAATATTAATTGCCGTTCGCCATTTGGGGTGCCATAACTGTGACCCACAACCCCCCAGTTGCAGTAGTATTGAAGGCTTTTTTAAACAATTTTTTATTGCGCAACAGAAAATAGAATATGAATTATGATGATATGAGACATAACGAGCAAAGTTTTCTGCATTTCCATTTAAGTTGTGAAAATCGAAAAAGTTAATAAAAACTTTAAAGAGACTCCGAGACAAAGGACTGCACACGCACTCCATTAAACTGACTGTGGCAGACAAACATACATATGCGACAACAGTAACAATAACAAGCCACTAACTGGTGCACAGGACGTGGGGCAGGACACAGGTGTCCATGTCGCCTGGCACTTCAACACCCAACAAATAGTTACCCACCACTCACACGCCCGCCCGTCCGTCCGCTCGTTGGACTCTTTTCATTTTCTCAACACGTAAAGCAAACACGTGACCGTTAAGGACACGGACACGGCTCCTGCTGTTGCTGCCGGTGCTGCTGGCATTGCTGTTGTAGGCGCAAATTGCAAACAGAAGGACAACGACAACGACTTCGACCCCACCATAAACTGCCAGCTTATGTCAGACACAAAGCCAACTCAGCCACCCAGCCACCAGGCTAGCGAAGTCCTAGCCAAATGCCAAGTGAAGCGTGCGGCGTACAAGAACTCGTAGCTCGACCGCCTCCTCCTCCTCCATCCACCCGCCGTGCGGTGTGCGTGTGTGCACAATATTCATATATCACAAGGATAAGCGCAATGCAGCAAACGTCCTTCCAGACGTGCCGTCGTTGCCTGTGCCTGTGCCTCGGTGTGTAAACTCCAATACTGTATGCTACTGTCCTCTGCTGTTCTGGCAGCAGCCAGTTGTTGGCACTGACCACTCTAGGCATGGGAGTCCAACTAAACTTGCGCTTCATGTGTGCAACTTTTAATTATTTGCGAATGTTGGCGCCAGACGTCGGCTTAGGATGCTCGATCTCTCTCTCTCTCTCTATCTTTCTCCCTCACACACTTTTTGTGTCCATCCGCATGTCCCTGTTACCCACGAACCATTCATTGATTTCCACTTGCCTTTTGAGTGACCAACACGCGGCAAGCTGCGAGCTGCGAGCGGCGAGCAGCAAGCAACGAGCGACGAGTGCGACGACAGGCGGCGGTCAAGGCAATGTCATAAACTTGAGCACCATAAAATCTGCTGGCAAAGTAATAAAAAAAAATGCCACAGCGGGAGATGCGAGACGTGTCTATGTATGTATGAAGTTGTTGTCGTCGCCGCCAGTTGTGCCAGGTCCAAGTCCAAGTCCAGGGCGTGACCAGGGAACAGCAGCGGATTTAGTGACAAACGCCAAACGCATAAAACTAACGCAGCGTAAACGGCGACGGCGGCAACGTCGACGATATCTTCAGTTTTGGCAGCGACAGCGAAAAATTTATCTTATTTATTTGTTGAGCGAAAGCCAAGAGCAAGTGCAGCATTTTGATGCTTGACTGATTGGACCAAGTTTATGAGGCGCCACCGACGGCTATGCCGATTGCAATTGTAAAATGCATACTGCGGCAGCATCATCGTTGCCAGACGGTCAATAAGCCGATCACAATAGACGTGCAATCTTGTAAATAAACAAATAATTATTTATTTTGAACAATAAGAATGAAAGGAAGCATCTAATATTAGACTTTAAATCAAATTATTATTGCAATTCCGTTTCCTTCTTATACAACTTAAAAGTTTTCTTCAAACTATTTGGTATTTTTTTAATGGCAGCTTGAACTAAACTAATAGAAATCAGTGCTGCCAGACTGATGGAGAAAACCCTTTGCCTTTTCGCCAATTCAAAGTTAGAGCGAGTCAATGCAAAAGTGTCACAGAGCTGTCAGCGCAAGTTTTGTGCAGTTTTTATTTTCGTTTGTTAAACACACAAAATTTTACAAATCCAAGATTCGACAAAATATCGCAAGAGCAGTTAACTTAAATCAAAACTGATTAATTTGAAAAGTGCAAGGATAATTTGATTGAAATTAGTACAAATATGGCGGTATGCAAACATTTGTTCCACAGCAACTGCAAATATAAAAAAGTATTTTAGCTTAATTAGCTTAACATTTTTGAATGCCATTTTACATGTGTCTTCTTATTTTTGTTTTCAGCCAATCCGGTCGCGTTCGGTCGCCCGCAAGAATCCCTGGCCGCGCAAGGTTAGGCTGATCCAGAAACGCTCAAAGGTTGCTAGCACGACGCCCTCGCCACAAAAACTTGACCTAATGACGATGGCAGAAGGCACCGACCCCATGGGGCATCATCATCACGCCGCAGGCTCGCACAATCCCCACCACCACTACCACCATCATCCACATCCCCATCAGCATCACCACCATCCAGCGCAGTATCACCACCCCAATCCGCATTATGCACCCGCACAGCAGCCACCAGCAGCGGCAGCTGCCTCCCATTATGCCCCATATGCTCAGCTTCAGTATCCGCATGCATTGCCCCATCAGCATTTGCCGCTGGCGCTTAGTCTGCATCAGCAGGCTGCGGCGGCTGCAGCTTCGGCAGCAGTTGCTGCCGCTGTTGCAAGCGTTGAGCAGCACAACAACAACAACAATCAGCCGTTTGTGCCCAACAACAATATAATGCCATGGAAGCAGCGCAAGCGCAAACGTCTCTCAGCGGTGCTCGATAAGCTCCATCACAACAACAACAACAATAATAACAACAATAATAATACCAACAACAATAACACAAACAACAACAACAATGGCGTGGCCTGCAAAACGGAGCCAATGGATATGGATGAGCGGGATATGGATGAAATGGAAGAGGACGGCGATGATGCCCAAGGAGAAGCCACAGAAGATGGCAAGCAGAATCACGAGGCTAACTACATTAAGCGGGAACAGCGTGACGCACTGACAGCTGCCAGCGATGAGGAACAGATCGAGGCTGAGCCTGAGCTATCCGCAGAGGAGCTCTCGCATTCGGATCAGGACGATCAGGATAGTCCGCGTATTAGCATGAGTCCGCTGCATGTGGCAGCGACGCCCGCGTCCAATCCAGCGCCAGATAGTGCCGCTGCTGCTGCTGCTGCCGCCAAAGAGAATCCGCTGCACGTGGATATCAAGACTGAGCATATGCCAAGCCCGTATGATCGCTATTTTCCCATTCCCTCGCCGCTGTTTGGCTACTATCTGCATACCAAGTACTTGAATGAGGTGTTCCGCAGACGCCATGATCTCTATCCCTCACCGCTGCAGCATACACCCTCCTCCATTGCCTCCGAGACGGAGACGTCGCCCACCAGCCACGGCAAGCCACCAAACAGCAACAGCAACACCAACAGCAATGGCAGCCAACACCCCCGGCAACAACACCAACAACAACAGCAACCGCTGTCCGGCATGCTGATGAATGCATCGCCACCGCCCTCGCTGCCCTCCCCGCCGCGCAGTGACTCATCGGTGACCACAACGCAGCCATCGCGAGTCAGTCCTAAGCCAACCAAGAAGAAGACATCCTCATCCGCAGAGAAGCCAATGCCGCCTCCACAGGAGCGTCCCCTGGATTTGTGCATGCGCAGCGATTTCCTCGGTGAGCCTAAAAAGTACAAAACAGGGACGTCACCGTTGCATGCAACTACTGCTGCATCCATGATGCCACCGCCTGCATCGATGAGCGCCGCTAGTAGTCTCGAGAGCATGAACGCATTGTCGCCCGCCTCCAGCACACACTCGAGCACCTCACTAACCAGCAGCATGCCCACATCAACACTGGCGCCTCCCTCTGCAATGTCGCCATATGCGATGACGGCAGCGGCGGCACATGCAGCCGCAGCTGCGGCAGCAGCAGCCATGATCAAAATGGAGATGCCGATGCATCCGCTGCACTCGCATGTGCCCACCACAACGGTGGGTGTGCCAGTGATCAAGGGGGATGTGGCCTCACCCACCACAAAGGAGTCGGTAGCCTGGCGCTACAATCTCGATGTGTCGCCGGTGGTGGAGGAGATGCCGCCCGGTTCAGATGTCGCATATGTGTGCCCGACTTGCGGTCAAATGTTCTCGCTGCACGATCGACTGGCCAAGCACATGGCCTCACGGCACAAGTCGCGAAATCCCGCCAATGATATTACCAAAGCCTATTCCTGCGACGTATGCCATCGCTCGTTTGCCCGCTCCGACATGCTCACCCGCCACATGCGACTGCACACCGGCGTCAAACCATACACGTGCAAAGTGTGTGGTCAGGTCTTCTCGCGCTCCGACCATCTGTCCACGCATCAGCGCACCCACACCGGCGAGAAGCCGTATAAGTGTCCACAGTGTCCGTATGCCGCATGTCGCCGGGATATGATTACACGGCACATGCGCACCCACACACGCTACGAATCTCGTGGTGCTGGTGGGGGTGGTGGAGCTGGGCGTGGTAGTGAGGGGCAAAAGTCACCATTGCAGCTGCTAGACGTTAAGATGAACATGAATCTGCCGCTGCTGTTGCAACAGGATGAGCTAATGCAGAAGTCACCGCTCAATTTGGGCGGACCCATGCCCATTGTGGTAAAGACGGAGAGCGCCTAACGGTATCTCTATGCGGCCGCGGCCAGACAGTTCATGACCTTTTAGAGGCACCACTAAAGTTTGGACCCAGCTTAGTGCCCATATTGATCAGTTTGTAGTTTAGCTGCGCGCAACACTGGAAATCTCTCTGCGAAGACTGAGAACCTAATTACTACCTACAGTTAAAGGCATAGGTTTACATACATTTATAGTTTAAAGAAATCTATTTTAATTTGCACACACACACACGCACACACACAGAGAGAGACACGGAGTTAACTCAGACCACCACCCAACGTATTAACGTTTAAATTAGTTGTAGGGTAAGGAGAGCCGAAGAACCCTCATGGAGACGGGCTTAGTTCGTATTCGTAGTATTGTATTTTTGGATAATGTTGTAGACAACGTTCAGATACAGCTAGCAATTCCATGTTCCACAATTTAGTTAGTAGTTCCGTCACATACAAAACTTTTATAAATATACATATGTATGTATGTATTTAGTTAGCTAGAGGTTAGTTAGCTAGCTAGTTTGATAGTTAGGCAGAGGTCAATCGTCGGCCTCTGGGCATTTTTGAACAACATTGAAATTATTAAGCTAGGCACGCACACATAGGCTACGTTTGCTATTATATATAGATATATATATATATATATTTTACTCTTATCTATTTAGTTAATTTAATTGAAAGCAAAGCGGACAAACCACAAACAAACATTAGTTGTACTTATACTATAATTGTAATTAAACATTAATTTTCTCTAATTTATTTTAGTTTTTTAAACTTCAGCATTGTGCATTTAGTTTTTTACGTTTTAGTAACTAAAAAGACAATTTGTATTAATTTAATTATAGTTTTACGATTTTACATACACACAAAAGACAAAGAATTCTCCCTAGGGCACAAAAACAAAAACTTTTCGATTTCGTACGTGATGCGATTGACACATTGATAAAAAAAAGATAAATTACTTATTCCTTTTTATTTTTTTTTTGTTTAACAAAAATCTTAAAAAAATGTATCATTTTGCATCTATATATTTTTTTTCATAAAATGAAATAAAAACTTTCTGTTTTCTTTAGTTGAAATGTTTATTTTTAATTTGAAAGACACATTTTAGATGCCAGTTTGGATAAATTGAAGCAATGCGAAAATTATTGAAATTATGGCAAGTTTCTGTTTGCCAATATTGAACATTTTTATAGTTGTTTCAAGTTGAAGTTTTTGTTATTTATTACCATTTTTCTGAGCGTATGAAATATTCATTACTAATTCTAATTAAAAGTTTAAATAAATTATTAATTTATGTTGTAGTTCGTTATGATTAGTTATTAGCTCAAAAATTTTTGACAAAATAAAACAAACATGAAAAAAGCACAAAAAACTATGAAATCAACACAAAAAACCAAACACATAAATCTTTATTTATTTTCTTTTTATGGCATTTTGCTATAAGTCACTTTTTAATTTATAGCACCTTGGACAGAGGGTGTAACCGCCAAAGCACTACATAAATTATTGGATTAGCATTATTGAAAGTGTCATCAGCATTTAACCGTATCTAAATTTGGGTTAAAATGTCTCGAAGATTCGTGATCTGATTTAAGATAGACACAGTTTTGCACAGCTTTTCCCCTGAAAATATTTCAGATCTACTTAAAATAAAAAATATTTGAGTTTAAGTTTTTGCTGTGGACGGCTACCTAAATCCTTTTGCCGGAAACTGGCTTACAAGCTTTTAGGCAATTGAAAGCGCCTACACGGCAAATGGCAGAGTTGCAGCTGGTCACGAAATTGCAGTCAAGCACGCAGCACCCAAATGGTCACACCCCCTCACCAGTCTTTTGGCAAGTTTTTCCCACGCTTTGCCACTTGCGGGGGTGCCACCGACCTACTCCAACTTACTCTCCTACGGCTCTCCTACCGCTGGCAACATAAAAATTTCTTTAGGCTTAATAGCCAGACGACACGAATACTCAAAAGGCAGGCGTGGGCGGGCGGGTGGCAGGACTCCGTCTGGTACTTCGTCTGGGACTGGGGCCCTCTTGTGACTGCTGCAATGCAGTTTTGCGGATAATGTCTGACCTTGTTTTCCAATGACTAAATTAATTCCTTAATAAGTGAAGGGGCGCAAAACGCGACGCGACGCGACGCGTCGTATGGCAAAAACAAACACAAAACACGAACTGCAGACATGGCACAGTTTGACTTTTGGGTTAATTGTGGCAGCCACCTGCCCGCCCCCTCGTTTGCAATTAAGCAAAGCAGAAGTTTTTGGTGGCAACTTTAAGGCTGTGTTAATTGACAGACATTGCGGGATCCGGCAATATGGCGCAACTGCAGCGGCTCATAAATCACTAGCGGTGACTAAGTAGCCTATAGGCCTAGTCATGTTGCAGTTTGTATACTCCATACCGCAGAGGGGTGTGTGAGGGTGAGGCAGAGGTGAGATACAGGGTATGGGAAAAGTGGCTGTTGTGACTTATGGTTAGCCAGACAGATTCGAACTAGGGGCCACTGTATTACTAGCATTAAGTACTCTGCACATGGTTGATGCCGCATTGCATAATCCATTGCATTCTGTTGGTCGTGCATCATTTTGGATGCCGACGTCGTTGACATTATTTGCAGCTCGGCCCGGATTTTTGTACGCATAAATCTCTAAACAAGCGCGCGTGTCGTGCGTTTATTATCACTTCCGTCTGGGCAGGCAGGCAGGCAGACAGTCAGGCAGGCAGGCATCCAACCAACCATCTAACCAGACAACCAACTAGCCGTTAAAGCAGCTCCTTTGTCTTTTCGGGCAGCGCGAAATTTATCGCCATCATTTGTAATTGTAGTGCGAAAATTGAGTTTGAAGTTTGTGTGTGCCAGGTTCAGTTCAGTTTATTTTATCTCAGTTTTGGTTCGGTTCGGTACATTCTGCTCCCCAAACTTTATTGTTTTCATCAACATAATTCTTGCCGATGCGCTTTGGAGCCAGTCCAAATTATTGTTAGCCAAAGATTTACTGCTCGAAAAAAAGGTGGCACTAAGCTGGGTATTTCCAGCTCCTAACATAGTCTCGCAAATGCAAGGCTATAAATATGCACAAAGTGTGTAAAATGTTGCAGACAGATATTATACATTGAAGATGTATGTATATTTAGTATATTTCCGTCACACGGAAGTGCCTTAAAAACCCAATTTTTGATACGCATTAAGCTCAAATGAGTTATTGATATTGTACATAGAATATAAACTATACTAAATCAAGCTGATTTAACTTATTGCATTGTAAATTATGCGATTTTTGCAAGAAATCAACTTTTTGACTAATACTAATTAAATAGATAACTATTTACCAAGCATACGTACGATATTTTAAATGAATGAAATGAATATACATAGTCTATTAACCAAAACTTTTTCAACTTAATGCTTCTGAGAAGTTTAAGATTAAAGCATTAAATGCTGTTCAGTATGCATAAAAACAAACAACAAGTCAAGTATTTTTTATCAAGATCCATTTACTACAAGTGAAAAACACAAAAAAGAAGATACATTAACTTCAATAAAAAAAATTTTAAATGTAAAATTTTAAGTAATCCAAAAAGTAAGTCTAAAAATTTAAATTTTACTCAAATCGCTTCCAAACATATTTTTATAGCGCTTTTCGAATTTTACCTACAACAAATTACAATTAAAAATATGTAAATTAAAGCAATAATTAATTGATAAATAAATCAAAAGACTTTTTCAACTCTTAGCTTACATTTGCCTTTTAGATATAAGAATGCAAATCAAAGATTAATGCAAGAATATATGAATATTGTAATTCTATCAAAAATAATAATAACAATACTCAAATTTAATTTATTTTAAGCAACGCTAGAGTACTTATAAAAATCAGTGAACAACATTGTGATATTAGTTGAGAACAAAATCAAATTACTTCCACGCTACTTCTATATCATTTGTAGACGTTATTCAAAAATTAAAAAAAAATATATATATATATTTATTAAGAGAGAAACTTCTTCTAAAGTTTCTGTTAATATTTTTGGATAGCGTTCAATAAGCTCGGCCAGTCGATCTTTATACATAGCTAGATTATCTTTAAGGTGCAAGATTTTTCGTCTTATTTTATGGTGCTATGTAAACTTGTGCTTAGTTAGATTAATTTTATTCTCAGACCCATTATTTGTGGTCTAAATCGACAATCTTTAGCAGCCCAAATAAATCAATTACTTTAACATTAACACTAACTAGGAATCAATTACATACCTACTTATTAGAAACGAAAATCTCTTTAAAACTAGATTCATCATTTCTATACATATAAAACTCAACTAAATGATTAATAACTATTGTATTGTATAATACAACAATTAATGTTCTCATGAAACAACTAGGACACTCTTCAGAAATTTTGAACCAGCAACTACTAAATTAAATAATGGAAAAAATAATAAAAATAAATAAAATTATGCAGCTGAATTTTGTGGAATGCGAAAATAATGCAAATGCCTTCTGCCGCCGGTGTTTGCTTGAATGCAATCAGTGGAGATTATGGAGAGGCTGGGCCAAGGGGGACATTCGGGCCAAAGGGTTGCAGAAATAATGCGAGTAATAACAAACTGCAGGCGTAACTGAAATGCCAGGCTACTGCGCATTTGTCCAGGCGATGGGGCAATGCAGCGATGGCGAAGGCGTTGGCCAAGACGGACGACGGGAGGCGCAACTGCGGTAATTACAATTGCCGCCGGACATGGACAGCAGTAGCAGCAGCAGAAGTAGCAGCAGCAGCAATGGCAGTGGCAGGAGCACAGCTGTGGCTGCTGCATCAAAGCAACAGATCTTGGAGCATCCTCGCTCGCCCAAGACAATTATATGCTGCCAAAGACGCATGCGCAGCAGCCACAGCAGCTTCCTGACTGCATTTTATTTTTATACCCTCTTTCCAATAAAAATTTATAAAAAGGGTATCATGAAATCGAGTAAATTTACGTCACAATCAGAAGACAGCCCCAAAGATTATACATGTTCTTAATCTAACTAAAAAGTAAAGTTAATTGGCTAAAATTCTACACTTTGTAGTCATCTTAAAAACCATACCTTTTTGATCATCTTTTAGACTCTACATTAATCTTGGTAATCTTATAATTATAAATCCCTTAATTGCAGACATTTTATGTCAAATACAGGGTAACGCCATGTGGGTCACTCTTGACTACAGCTCTCTTACTTGTTACGTTTTTATTTGAGCAAATTGCTGGCAACTTTGCGCTCTGTGACTGACTGAATGATAGACTCACTGACTGCTTGACTTTCAGACTTTCAGGTTGACTGAATGACTGACTACCTGGTAGTTGCTGCCGCTTTTGTTGCAGCAGTTTCGTTTCAATTGCAATTTGTTGCTGCTGCCCTGTTGACTGTAAAAAAAAATATATAAAAAATATGCCAAAATGACTACGTGCGGGCGTTTTGCGCAAGAATCTCGAAGCAGCGACGAACCAGAGAAAAGCCGAGCAAACGATAATGATGATTGCAGCTAAATTATGATGCCCCGATGCGAGTGCAGAGTGAGCGCAGAAACGCAGCAACTGCAGAGAAAGTGTAGCACATAGCAGTACAGTTCAACAGAAGCTGGCAGCAACATCATCGAAAGGGACTCAGCGGCTTTATTTAGCATAGCTCGCACCGCCTTTGGGGCCGAAACAACTGCAATAACAACAACAACAACAGCAACAACAGCATCAGCAAGAGCAGCAAAATGTAATAATTGCAAAGCAGTTTGCCGCAGGTGCGCCACCCGCCTTTTGTCGAGGACCTGAACCTGCAACTTAACCGGCTGCCGCCTCAAAAGCGATGAGCATGGCTGATAAAGCAGCAACAGCAACAGTAACAGCAATAACAACAACAATAACAACAACAACAGTATCCGATGCTGGGCAACGTCTCGTATTTAATGCATTTGATCCTTGATGCTGTTGAAAATGAACTGAGCTCGAACATGCAATCAAGAAAGCTCCCCTCCTGGCCAATCTGGCCAATTTCATGAATGAAAACTTGGCACAGACAGTCTTGGACTTTTGCATGTTTTCTCGCTTACATAGCCCAGAAAAACAACAACACGCACACCCACACAACCAACTGGAAGGAGCGAGTTGCTGCTGTTGTTAATATTGCGAGTCTTGGCGACTCTTGTTGCAGCTGCAGCGCATTAACCTCGTTCACCGCTGCGGCTGCTGCTGCTGCCTGGCAAGCAAAATATTTACCAAAGTGATTAAGATGCCTGAGTAATTTTTAACACAATTACGCTGCCAAGCAGACGACGGCAGTCAGTAGTCAGCAGTCGGCAGTAACTGCAATTGTGCTGCTGCTGTTGCTGCCTACCCCATTGAATGGCTACTGTAGTTACACCGCCTCGGCGTCAGTTGCAGCTGCAATGCTGCTAATGACCAGGCCAAGCCAACGACTCAGCCGCGGCTCGCAATATAAACTGTGGCATTGTCTGACTGCCCCGACTACAACCCCAACCCCAACTTCAAACTCTAACTACACTCAGCAAAAAAATCCGGACCGTTGAAGTTTTTGGAACGAAACTATAGTTTAGTCTCCTCAGGTCTTGAATCCAGAGCCGCATTTTTCTCTCAGTCTACAAGTTCAGCATAGAGCAAGTGGCATCAGCAACAGCATCACGCGGTCACCCGAACTTTTGTGTGCATTGGCCATTAGCGTTTCCACACAACGCTGGCTTTAATCGTAGCGAAACGGCGACCAGCGGTTGCGGGTGTTTTACGCATCAGTGTTTTTTGACAGCTTCTTCTGGGCGCAAAAAGTATCGAAAACAAAAACTAAACCTGAACATTACGTTGTGATTTATTGTATATGCGATTTTTGGCAGGTGTTGAGTTAAGCTGATCATCAGTTGCCATTTTGTTGGTGCTGTTGCATTAAAAAAATAAATAAATAAAAAAAATATCATTGCAACGTGCGGAACATTTGACGCTCATTGCCTGCCCCATTCTCAGCGCAACGCACGACAAGGCAACAAAAAGCCAATAACAAACCAACAGACAAGAAAAAAAAAAACAGAAATCGTGATGCGTTTGGTTTAGATTCGAGTTGCACGATTTTGCTGGCGTTAGCTACATTAACAATGTTGCCACAAACAACGAAGATGTTGTTCTTACCAGTTCCTCAACGCGAAATGTTGACAAAGAGCAGAGTTCGCGATTTGAGTATTTGTTGGCCATTTGCTAATAATATTTATACACTTAAATAAGGTGCTACGATTTTTTAAAATACTTTGTCGTCGATTAGAAAAAATTTGTCCTCTATTAGAAATATTTGTCAGCTATCCAGATACATGCATTTCTGAAAACCGATAGTAGAACTGAAAACCAAAGGATAGGTAAACTTATTAGATATAATTGTCACGCAGGCAGTGTTTTTAATTTTGACATTCCTTTTAAATGATGGCAATGACAAAATGAAGCCTGTCTTGTTTTCGGCTAAGCGAAATTCCCCTTCCCTTTGTAGTTGGCCAATGAAAATGAAAATGAGCGCGGCACGCGCTCAGCCACCGCACGACTGGAAAATTGCAGTGGATTGAGCGTTCTTCGCTTGGCTGCACCCGAAATGACCGAGGGGGCAACGGGAATGGGAATAGTAAGAGTGTGAGTGCTGCTGCTAGTGAAGCCACGTGTTGCGCATGCGCTTTTGGCCCCTGGATATTATAGTTGGACACGACGCGATGCGACGCCCTAAGCTTAGCGTTTGCGTTTGTCAGGGTCGACTGCATCGCGCTGCCTTCGTGCTTGCCACTTTGCAATTGTTCAGTTTGTGCAGTTGCAAGTGGCACGTTGCCTTGGCGTGAGGAAGCAGCAGCAGCAACAGCAGCAGCAGTAAAAGCAACACCTTCACTCTCTGTGGTTGTGGCGATAGTGCGATGATGTATGGCCTGAACCTGCAACATTGCAACGTTGCAACGCTCCTGCTGGTGCCTCTGCCCCTTTCCCAACCAGAACTTGCTGTTGCTGCTGCTGCTGCTTGCTATTGTAGGCGTCAACTCACGTTTATGCTTTGTAGACATTATCGCGCCTGTTTATCTTTAAATTGCAAGTAAATTACTTTGGCTCGCGCAGCTTGATGTATTATGCTGGCTTGTTGAGTGGCCACTGAGTGATTTGATGAGCTGAGCAGTAGGAAAGGGGGAAAGAGAAAGGTACTCAAAGAGGGACAGAAAGAGATTGAGGGAGAGAGAGACCAATACACAAAGATATTTAAAAAATCAACCCGTTTATTCGAGCACTACAAACTAAACGTTGATCATAATAAATTAGCTATGAAAGCGTCGTCAATGCAGTTGGATAAGTGTATGTTGTGTGTGTGATGTGGTGTCCTCATGTTTTTTGGGGAAATCTCTCTCAATAATGTGTCTCGGTGATTCTCACTTTACCGTATTTGCCGTGCAAATGATGCTTGGCAAAGGACAGCAGATTGGCATGGCTATGTACGTCCAAGTGGGCGGGGTAGGCGGCCCTGTGTACTACGGCGGCATGGCTATGATGGTGGTGTACCAATGGTGCGGAGTGATGGTGATGCACCAATGGAGCCGAGTGGTGAGCGTAGTGATGCAGGTCAGCGTGATGGGCATGGGCGTGTTCATCAATATGGGCGTGGGCATTGTGAATGATGTGATGATCGACCACAGGATTCCTGTAATGCAGGAAATGATGTGGCTCATCGTGCACCACCTTGTGCACGTGATGAACTGGCTCCACCTCATGGATTGGCTCGTGGCTGACGATTTTGGCAGGCGCATGGACATGAGTCTGATGTACATGCTCATGAGCGTGCACATCATTATCCAGATGGGCAGCGTAACCGTCGTGATGGTAAACGGGATGAACCGCTGCGTCCAAATGATGATCATTACCATCGATCACTACCGAAGAGCTGTGGCCTAAATGAATGCCGTCCGAATGATGAACATCGGCGCCCACAAAATGGGACAGATCCTCGTGATGATGGTCATGCTCCAAATGTGGCAACAAACCCGCTTGAGCCACGCTCAACAAGGCCAAAGTGCAGATAAAGAACTAAGGAGAGAGAATCTTAAGAGTTAACATATCCTGCAAGTCGTATTCTAAGGCCCACCTTCATTGCGGAGATTTCACGCTTAATTTGAGTATATCCAAAAGTTAAAGTTGACGGTGAGCTTGAACCACTTGTGTTACTGTGCTGTTGTCGCTGGACTGTGCTCTTATCCGTTGAAGCCCACACATTTTATAGTAGCTGGAAGACCACTGCAATTGTTGGCCAACAGCACGTGCAGCGTGGGCAGGCTGGAACAGCTGCTGGTCACTCGTCCAAGCCATTCAAACGTTATCAAAATCGCAAAGCAATGAAAGTAATGTGTGCTTCGAATTCGCAATGAAGTTTTGTCGTCACATTTGAAAGGTACACACACACATACTGGATAGTCAAGCTCATTATGTAAAGAGCCCATTGCAGCCAATAAACAATTTCCAGGTAACTTCCTCACCCATCGGTCGATTGTGTCATAATTTTATAGCTACTCGTATGAACAACAACCCAATAGGCCTCACTCTTGGAGGGGGTGACCCCATTATAGGCCCCATTGCTTGCAAGGCCATCGACTTTATTTCCATTTCCATTACATTGCATTTTGCAACCAATTTAGCAATCTTCGGAACAGTGAAAGCGTTTGCAATTTAACCAACATACTACAACATTTTTATAATGTCCAAAAAATCAATTCACACAATTTGCATGAGGCATACAAAATTCATAGCAACTACGTGCGGAATTTGCCAAAGTGTTGACGGCCCGGCAATATCTGTTGTGTTTATATTGACACAAAAGTGTTAAAAATAATAAAAACAACTTGTGGGTGTTGTCAATCCTTAGTGCGAACAAAGTCACACGAACGATTGTTGAACAAATTAGCAACAAAACTGAGTTTACTTGCATACTTGGATCACTTCTAAAACGAAGCAGCTTTTGTAAAAACAATGAACAAATTATTGTTTTCTTATCAAATGTTATTTGTAATCGTGTATATATACACAAATAATAAATATATATATATATCTGACCATGTGGACCTTCATGACTGCAATTGCACTTCCTGGCTGGATGATGTGCCGTCAAACAAGTTCCATAAATTATGAGAAACTTAAAGCAGTTACTATTACCATCAGCTGCTCAGCTCGGCAAAGATAAGCCAAGTGGGTCAGCCTATGGCTAATTACATAATAATTCGGTTAATTTAATCACAACGCTAATGAGCACCGTTGTATGCAAGGCAGCTAGTCAGTCTATCGATGAGGTGGGGGGCAAACTATCGCAACTATCGGTTTGGAGCGGCGGCGTCAACACCCCGTCAAAACTAGATACCGTAGTACGTGCAATGGGCTGTAAAGTGGAACTTAAAAAGCAGCGAACGACTTAAAATGCCCGCCAGGTGCCCACGCTTCGTCGGCCTGTCCAATGTTTTCAATGCGAATTTGTTTTGGTTTTGATAGAAGCGCAAACGCAATTTGTACGCCTGACAAATATTCGAACATTTCCAATGAATTTTGCGTACGAATTTGACAATTCTTGACTCTGGTCGTATGGTCGTTTTTTGGAATTGCCAGTTCCTGCCTGTTTTTTGTCAGTCTATCCGTGTGTCTTACACCTGCCCCAACAGCCAATTAGCCACAAAAGTATCTCGTAGCATGCAGCGAGCTGTGATCTAGCTGCTCTGCAGTCTGCAGCTCACACATCTGAAGGGGCGGGCAGTGCAGTATTTGTAATTAGACGGGGCAACAACAACAGCAGCAACAACGTAGACGCGACTTATTTCAATATGCAAATTGTTGTTAGACTAGCATAGAAAAAACATTTACATAAAGCGGCGGCCAGCTGCAGCAGAAGGAGACAGCCACAGAGACAAAAAGCTGCATAACAAAAATAATAAAAAAAAAAAACATAAAAAAATAAATAAAAAAAATATAAAAGAAAATCTATAATTTATTTGCACAAAAATGACGGCAACATCGTCGTCGGCGGCGGCGGTGGTGGTGTTGATGGTGGTGGCGCATGTTTGTAATTGAGTGCATCGTTAGCGGGGCAGCAGCAGCGGACAGGAGGCCAGGAGGTGGGAGTGAGCTGTATTAGCGACGCTGCCAACAACTAATTTAATGCCAGCAGCAACAGCAACCAACAGCAGCAACAGCGACGGCAACATGTCAACAGCAACGCCTGCCGCCAGCACGGGCCAACAACAAGGATGATCCACATGGTAGGGGTATAGAAGGGGAGGTCAGTCACTGTGTGTGCATATTTTATGCCTGCGACTCTTGTGCTACGGTGTCCATTGTGGGCAGCTCTGAATATGCGGCTGAAATAATTTTGCATCACATATTTTGTCGACCACAAATCAACGGCATGAGAAATTTGATGGTAATTAATATTGTAAGTATAACTTATTATGCTTTTGAATAAATGGGTGTGCTGCATTTAATGGCTCATGGCTTTATATGTAAAATGAAATGCCATGGAAAACTTTTTTTTAGAATTTTAAATTGTTGGATAATATATTTCAAAATACTTTTACTCTTATTTAAATAAATAATTTGCTCGATGGTTTTCTGTTAAACCATTTTATATTTACGTTACACATTCGAATACCAATATTATTCTTTGAAGTATTGACTCATATCATGCGATTACAATATTCATTTCACAATCATCATTATGCCTTTAACAACAACAGCCCTTTGGCATTTCCTCCTTTGAGACTTTGCCTTGATTACTCCATGTTGGGCCCCCTTCAGCTAAATGGGAAGCCTATCAACAGTAGCTGCTACAGCTGCCCCATACGCAGGTGTTTTTGGCCACTGTTCCAATTTGCAGTTCATATTATTTTCGATCTCTCAGCTTACGATTTTTAATCATTACTCCGCGACCGGGCAGACCTGTTCAGGCTGGGGTGCACAGAATCACATGAGCGACTGGCACTACCCCCTACATAAAAAATAAAAATAAAATGAAAAAAACAATAACAAATTGCTGAGCAGTAGTAGTAGGCCAGAGCTGAAATCCAGTATTATTGCATTTTCGCCAGGTAATGAAGTTCAGCAAAAAGTTAATCGGAAAAGCAAGGCCCCGCAACTAAATAGACAAATGATACGGAACGGAAGCTGCCAGCCAGTTGGCCAATTGTGCGGTGGGTTTTGCTTGCACATTAGCGGCTATAAATTGTCTTAATGCACACATGTACATACATATACATATACATATACACATACATACATGCATATGCGATTGGGGCCAGGCAGACACCTTGAACGGCGGCAAAGATCAGACCCACAGGCTGAGACTGCAACTCAGAGCGCATCGTCGTCGTGTCGCGTCGCGTTGCAAACTGTGGCAGCAGTTCGAGTCCAGGTTCGGCATTCAGATCTTCATACATGATCATGCATACAGCGAGTCGCGCGTGTTGTGTATCTGTATCTACGTCTGTGTTGCCTCCACGAATATAGTATCTGCATCTGTAGCTGTGGGCCTGCTGTTGCATAAGATGCTGCTGCTGCTGCTGCGGCTGCTGCATGTCCAATCGCTGTAAGATTGTGAAAATTGTAACGCTCGATTGAGAGCTCAAAGTTGGAGCAGTTGTAGTTGTTGTTGTTCCTACTGACGCTGCTGCTGCTGTTGCTGCTGTTGCTGCTGTTAGTAATATTGCACAAAGGCAACTTTGCGAAAGTTCGTCAGCAGCAAGAGCAGCAGCAGAACAATGGCTCAGTCTCAATTGAAGTGGTGTTGTTGCTGTTGTTATTGTTGATGTTGGCTGTTCTTATGGCCATTGTCAGTTGATTTCATCTGAAATAGAAAGCATGCAATTTTCATGCCACGCCATGGCGTCGATAGCGGCAGCAATTGATCTGCCGATCTGTGGTTCGATTGAAGGAGTTATTACACATGAACAAAAGCAGCAGCAGGAGCAGGAGGAGAAACCATTCATTGACCAATGGATTCCATGGCAGATATTGCTCTATTAGTGTTTGGGCCATGGCCACGAATGATGTGGCATAATGGTTTTGCGGAATTTCAAATGGACCGTAGGACAGGTGCTAATTTCATAGAACGGCCAATTGAAATGCTTGGCCAAGATCTTCATAGGCCGCCGACAATAGCATCGACAAGTGCGTGGCTAAAACTAACTCTAAATTACACCACACAACTAGAGATGTGTTTGCCACCTGGTTAACAACTAAATAGGTTTTATTTGCTGCTTTAGCTATAATTCTTTGCTAAACATGTCTAAAAAGTCATTATCAATGCCACTGGCAAGTTATTCTTTAAGTAAGGTGATGGAATTTTTTATATAGCTCGGCTGTTTTTCTTAACAAAAAAAACTCTCCCAAAGATTTTTTGAAAGCTTTTACATATTTCCAATTTGGGAGCTTGTCAAGATAGTTTATAGGCAATGAAAAGTGGGTCACGCAAAATATTGTAAATTTAACTACAAGAAATTGGTTTAAAACAAAACCAATTTTAACTCTTGTCGTAAATTTGTTATCCAGAACTGCTGCTATCGACATTTATGTTGCGCTGTGTTATCTAGTGCAATTGGCAATTTGAGCAGCCAATTGGCCAATTGACTGCGGCTGTGGGTTCGGATAGCGGCTCATTTCAAAATCCGCATTGACAAAGCGTCGTTTAATTGCCTGAATGAAAGTTAGCCACGATTTCGACATCGGGCTTCGAGTTAAGAGAACCCGAACGGAACACAGCTGCCAGCTACTAGCTGGGCAGTCAATTCTTATCGGCATTCCCACGCAGAGGCGGATGCACAAACAGAGAGACAGGTAGCCAGACAGCAGAGGTTACCACCGTGGAACACACATAAAATGTGGCTCTAAGCAAAAGGATTCTTAATGCATATGATAAGGATGCGTACAGAGGCAGTACAAATGCCGTCATCCTGACACTGAATGACCATTTTATGTCAGCACATAAATTAGTTGGGGTTTTGAAGGAAGGTCGTGAATGAAATCGATTGAAATTGATTGAGTTTAACTGTAAATGCATTTTTAATAGTAGGTTTTGCTGTGTTTTGTTAAAGATACGAGAGTTGACAACGCTACCCCCGCCGCAACCACCGCCGTCGCTGCTTATCAAAGCCAAAACATCAAAGTGGCTTTGTTTCTATGGCTATAGGGGATTAAGAGAGAGGCCCTTTTATGGTCTCCGACACTTATGCATATCGATTCTGAGACTTGTAAATTTGTGCGTATGCCATTAATTTTTTTCCTCGTCTTTTTTATTTATATTTTTTTTTAACAACAGCTACAACATCTTGTAAAACTGTAATTTTAAATTAATAGCCGCGTATTACAAGCAGTTTATATGCGCAAGCGTAGGAGGCGGAGGCCCCTGCCTCCCTCGATCCCCTCGCCACGATGGCATTGCATTGTCAAGAGAAGCGGGGCCCCATGAAGGTGTTGAAATCAACAGCTAGTCCAAACTCTATAAGAATTTATAGCGGAATTATGTGACAGTTGCTGCCGTCAGCGGTGCCCTCGACGTTGCCATTGTTATTATTGTTGTTGGTGTTGCTGTTGCTGCTGTTGTTGTCGACTAGCGGGCGTTCAACAATAACAATAACAATGCGTCAGTCGATTGCCAAGTTGAGAGGCAGAGACTGTGTCTCCATCTCCATCTCCGTCTTAGTTTCAGTTACTTGTGTCCAGGTCCGAGCGTCTCTTACGGCATTTCATTTCAACGCATTCCATTTCATTTCATCTCATTCGATTTGATTTCTTTTCTTAAAATGCCCTTAGGGGATACGAATGAGATGCTGCTGCTCTTTAATTTTCACCTTTTGCCCGTGCTGGCCGCTGAAGGCTTTAGCTAATTTATGCAAATGTATATTTAATCGTCGTTGACAGTTAAGGCGGGCGCTGAAGAACACAAAAGGCGCATCAGCATCACCAGCATCGGCAGCAACATCCAGCACATTATTGCTGCTCTTGTTGTTGTAGATCGTGTGCTCTTTTGTGCGATGATAGATGTTTATGAGGCGGCAACACCCACCGTAGATGGGACTTCAAGATGGCGCTGATGTGTCCCGCTGCAAATTTGTTGACAGTGCATGTTGTGCATTTAAATGAGTGCTTTTTAATGGAACACATCTAGATGCAGTAGTCTAAAGCTGAAAACTATTAGCACATAATACAAGCAAAGCGAGCTCAGATTGATGACTTTCGAAACACTAAAGAAAAGCTCGGACATTTTTGAAATACGTGAGTCTTGTGAAACTGAAACCTAATGAGCTGGAGTTTTTGACAAGACTTCGTTATATTAAAAAAAGAGTTAATCAAACTGCACAATTTTATTAGCATCACCTGTTCAATTAGAAGATTATATGCGATTATTATTTAAATTTTAATGAAAATGTAAATAGTTTATTTAATTGCAACCGAATTACAAGCAAATGCCTCACATAAATCATTCTTAAAGTCGTTTATCGACTCAGTAACTCAGTAACCGCCAAGTCGCCTAGCCGCCCATTTGCTTGGTTCCTTTAGGGCGCGAGGAATTGATTAGAAGCAAAATATGCCCCAACACATGCGCATTAAAACTGAAATTACTACCTGAATTCCGCAAGCGCATAAAACAAAGCTATCGGACATAGCTGCAAAATGTAACTGAGTTTGTATGACCAGTCATGTTTATAAAGCAAATCATAGACAAAAGGCAACAAGCTTAACGGGCGCCATAAAAGAGATGCTAAGATCTCTTCGTGCCGCTTGAATGGCCGCAAGTGTCGTGGCTAGGATGCAGCACGCGCTCGAAGACTTGGGAAACTCCTCGACAACATAAGTATTGAGAAAGGAAACTTTGCGGCCGTCCACTCGCTAAATATCAATAACATTTTTATTTATTTTGTTTGCGGGCATTTTGGCATTTTTAAGTGCATTTATTTTAACGTCCTAAATCGAGCGTTTTGTAAAACGTTTTTTGCTGGCTCCAACTTGTTGTTGCTGTGGCTACTGCTAGATGTTGTTGTTGCAGTTATTGTTCCCCCTGTTGCTGTTACGTTCGAGTGCACGCCGAGATTTGCAGTAGCTGTTTGGGCCCAATGCATTGCCATGGCGCGTGCAACAAACTGCAGCTGCACTTGTCTTCAGCTCTATACCTAGGCGAACCGAACCGATGCTGAACGTTACTCTCCTGGCAACAATAAATAATAAACCTTTTGTGGATTTTGGTCTTGATGGCGGTGGCGTTGGCCCGGCTACCGATCGGCCAAGATCAAAGCCCAATTGCCGCCATTGTTTGGCTGAAAAAAAAACAACTAAAAATCGACCAGCAAATAAAAATATGTATGGAAGACCCTGGCTTGAGCACATGGAAAGTTGCTGTTGCTGATTGTTAGACAAGTGCTAAATGCAGTTATTATATTAAGTTTTAATTACAAAAGGGAAAATCGAGCGGAAGCTAACCCACAACATCAACAGTAACAACTTTGGTTACAAGTAGGCATAAAAGTGAGACGGACACGAAAAACCGGTGGCAATAATTTTAATGTCGCTAAGAGGCAAAGTACAGACAGATGGAGAGGGACAGAGGGACGTACTGGGGATAGTGGCGGCATCGTAAAATTCTTAAAACATATTTTATGAGCAGTACAACAGCAGCAGCAAGAAAATACGAAAAACGCAGCACGTTGACAAATTTTTTGAGGCCCGAAAGAGGTCGGTTGGGTCGCTTGGAAGGCGCCCAAAAGGAAAAGCAGCCTCATAAACGATGGTGATTTAATTTAACGATTGTCATACTCATACTTAAAGCGAAAGAGTAAAAACAGCAACAACAACGAAAGAAAAAACGGTTGAATGTATTCGGTTGAGTTTCGGATGAGTTAACTGGAACTGCCAGTGAGCCATGGCTATCCGTGGCAAGCAGTCGAAGGAAGCCACCCACATAAAACAACAAACGCTGCGCCATTGTCCCAGGCGCTGAAATTCACTTGAAAAAATCTAAAAAGACCCAAAAAAAATTGACAAGAACAAATAAGAATGCCAGGCAGTTGAGCAATCGACTGTGTAATACTCTGTAGTCAAGTAAAATTGAAAGATTTTTGATAAGAAGACGAAAGGTAATCATAGATAATAAGTATTTTATTTAATGTTCGTCTGAATTATTGTGTCCATATGTTTAAGAGTAAGCCCCGCCCATTTAATATTATACTTGAAGCTTTAGATACCTCAACAGTTTGCTAAGACTATTCTCGGATTGTTACCTAGTTAGTTACAAGCTAAACAAGCCTCCAGGGCAGGGTATTAACTGAAAAGCTACACTGAAATACATAAAATGGTATTGAAAAGCCCTAAAACGAAAGCGGTCTGCGATTCGACTGTTGGACTGAGCACCAAAAGCGAACTGCACCTCGATGAGGCAGCAGACGAAGGAGAAGAGTAAGAAGAAGATTTACAGAGCCACAGATCAACAACGTTGATCACGCGCATGCGACGACATTCAATGTGATTTCGTTTGAAATGCCGCGCGCATGCGCGGGAGCAAAACAATCGCTTGACGTCGACGTCG